TTTTTAAAAGAAACAGGTGTGTAAAAAGATGATTTTAATCATCGTGTAAAAAAGTAGTCGTACTTCGTATGGATCTCCTTGGATATTTCCACAGATATGAACGCCTGGCGCATCTCAAACCGAGCTTGTGGACAGAAAGAATGAGCAAAACCAGTGAAATCTCTTTCTCCGCGGTKTAAATTTGAGATTACTTTTCATTTTATGAAGTATTAATTATGGAAAAATGAATGCCATTGCAGTAAATATTGCTTTTCCAGCCTGCAAGAATTTTCTTTGTTTATCGCACATACTTTTACATTGCATTACGAGCGGGAGGAAATATCACGAAATAAATTAGTATCGAAAAGAAAAGTTCTGAAAAAATTGGAATAAGTATTTAGCGAAAAAGCACAGAATCTGACACCGTTGATTTTTCAGTTTCCAATTAAAGTTTGGGCTAATTTTAGGTSTTGCTCCCCCTCTTCAAGTACATAAAATTAGATTTTGTCCCCCTCCTCTGGATTCTCAACACCACTCCTGATAAATATTACGCAGTCCCTAAATAATACTTACTATGAGTATCATAAATGACTCATCATGCTCTTGTGTAAAGCATACGTGTTTATACTTATTTTTCCATATTGCTAATTTTTTTTGCGYGTAGGAAAAAAAATAGTGTTAGTCAAACAAATGGAAACAAAAGCATTTTCATAAAATAATACAAAATAACATTACAAACGTTTCACGCTTTAACTAAAAGCACTCACTGTAGGCACCTTCGCGCTATTTACAAATTTTGTAACCAAAGTGAACATAAATTAATCCAGTCCTTGAATTACTGACCAGTATTCTCAAATTGCCATTAATTGCAAGCGGGATTTCGAATTTATGTGAAAATTGGTTGTTTACTCTATTCAGTGCTTTCTGTCCTAGAAGAATAGAAATGGCTATTCTTATAGAATTAATGCCTTTAGGACATTGCAATTGTATGTTAAATTTTCCATAATTTAGAGATTAATTTAGAACGAGAATCGACCTAATAACCTTTGCGATACCAGTGCAACAGACGGGTCCCTGGAAATAGCGTTACAAGTTACGAAGTTACAAAGTTACAAAGTTACGAAGTTACGAAGTTACAAGGTTAAATTCTGTTACATTTCTGTCAAGAATATGTCAACAACANGTAACAGAATTTAACCTTGTAACTTTGTAACTTTGTAACTTCGTAACTTTGTAACTTCGTAACTTGTAACGCTATTTCCAGGGACCCGCAACAGACTTCCACTTGATCTATCTAACTGCCATAGGGGTAAGGTCGTAATTTCCTATAAAGGTCTGTCCAAGCTTAACTATACGTTTATACGTACCCGGGGGTATATACCAAAACAAACATGTGAGGCGGGTCCCTGGAAATAGCGTTACAAGTTACGAAGTTACAAAGTTACAAAGTTACGAAGTTACAAGGTTAAATTCTGTTACATTTCTGTCAAGAATATGTCAACAACATGTCAACAAGCCCTTCTCTATTACTATATTATTATTATATACTTTAATTTTATGCGTTAGACATACTTGAATTGACTATCTTAGTCCAAAAAAACTTAAAAACTATAAACTAACTAACTATAAAGGGAGAGAACCAGGTCCTTTCATCTTCATAAGCCTTTGGTCAGTGACCTCTGTACTGATGTACATGACTGTTTGTGATGAGAAGTCGCACGGTGAAAGGATGGCCACCTTTTAACCATGAAGGTCGCCAGTTTTTGAACAGTGATTACGATTGTATTTGTTATAGCTCATTGAGTATCTTAGAAATTCACTTACTGAATAGTGTGTATATCTTGAGTCACAGGTAGCCCAAGTTATACGACTTATACATTTTAACCGTTTTTAGTAATTTAGAAATATTCTAGTTTAATAAAAAATAAACATCTCTACCTGTTTCAGGCCATTTTGAGCTATTTTGAGCCATTTATTGCTATTGTTATCTTACGCTCTAAAAGGAAGGGAAGGTAGCTAGGTCAACCCCACAGTGACCGCCAGAAATTAATTTCTAGCTCCTCCGAAAATGTGAATCACGCCAATATTCCCTCGGATTATCTTTKCCAGAGAAACTCTCCATCCACACATGCAATTTCGTTTCGAAACTTCAACGCTATCACAACGAAAACCCGCTGTATTTCGACGATATCGCCGATAAATTCGTCTACTTAGGAAGTACAATGACCCACAATGGTGATATCTCCCCGGAGCTTGACAACCGTATCGGGAAAGCTGCGAGTGCTTTCAACACACTCATGCCCGTTATGCGACACAAGTCCATCAAACTGACAACGAAGTTGTCAATTTACCAGGCTGTAGTGATCTCTACCCTATTGTACAGCGCCGAAACCTGGAACACTACCGCTCAGGAAGAGAAGCGTCTTGCAGCTTTCCACACTAGATGTCTGAGAAGAATCCTTGGGGTGTCCTGGCGTGATCACGTCTCAAACGCTGAAATATTTCAGCGAACTGGTCAGACGTCGCTTATCAACATCCTGCGACAAAAGCGCTTGACTTGGCTCGGTCATGTCTCACGCATGGCCGACACACGCTTGCCCCGTCGCCTACTGCTTTGGGAGCCACGAGGACGCCGTCGCCCAGGAAGACAGCGGATGCGCTGGAGAGACGCAGTTTCAAGAGATTTGCAAGACTCTGGTGTCTCCTTCCACGAGGCGATGGTAGCTGCCCAAGATCGGAAAGCGTGGAGATCCTTTGTGAAAGCACTATGTGGGCCCGGCCCACGGCAACAGATTGATTGATTGATTGATCGCCGAAGGTCGGGCTCTTTCTCAATGTATACAACACTCATTATCCCTTACCCTAAACCTAACCCTTTGGGAACCCAGTGTTGTATACATGAAGGAAGGTCGAGCCTTGATAAGTTGATACGATCAGGGTTGGACATTTCAAACCATACATTTCAAACCGTACTGACACCTCCCCCGCCTAGTCATAATTATAACTTTTTTTCCTAAGATATTATAGTAATAGCAGTAGGGCTTGTTGACATATTCTTGACAGAAATGTAACAGAATTTAACCTTGTAACTTCGTAACTTCGTAACTTTGTAACTTTGTAACTTCGTAACTTGTAACGCTATTTCCAGGGACCCTTGTGAGGCGTGCATGCCTTCTTATGTCTGAAAGTATTGTTAATCGTAGTGATTGCCACACCCGTCGTCTTATTATCTGAAGCGAGATGCATCTATTTGCTGCAACCACGGTAAGAACGTAGCAGCTCAATGTCTCCTTCTACTCTTGGGATAAAGTCTGACCACATGATAGCATTTCCTTCTCCAAAAGAGCATGASCGAGATAATTCAACCACCTCTTGTGCCGTGAGGACCCTGTCCCAAAGRTTCACGTTGGTCAGGTTGCCTTGGTAGCTTTGTGCTAAATCAAAGTCTCCCTTGACAGAGTCTTGATCCTGACCAAGTATAATGGCGCCCTTTCCAGGAATAACCCTGCCTGGGTTCCTGATCCCTTTAGATTTCTCTGYGCCATCGATGTATATTTTCCACTCACCTCGATTGTTCTCCCAYGTCAAACAAAAATGATGCCAGTCACCATCGACAGGATACAGCGCCTCCCTGTAGAATAAAAATGACTTGASTGATGTACTGTTTTCCGCCAGAGTTAGCRCATCAGTACATCACACTGCTACCGATAGGTGACACACTGATAGACAAATTGGTATTGCATAAATGTTTTCCTTTCAGATTGCCTAGCCATATCGCACTTGGGTACTTATTAGCAAACACCGCACAGACTCGAGAATAACCTATATAACAACAAAATAGTCTAAATAGTCAAAATAGTCWATGCCCTTACCCTGTCGGAGATCTCCATTCAACCATGTAAATACGTAGAAATGTGGTSGACGATGGTTTTTCGAGTTCTACATATATTTCGTTGTGATGTTCATTGGTGGCAAAGCTGAAGAGTGCCTGTTCCAATTTTATGGCTGCCTGGTTCCATGAACATACTGTAAAGGCTGTCAAATTTCCCAACCAGTTCTCCAGAACAACTTTAKTTTTTAAACTTGCTTGAGGAAATATCATAATGATTTGCTCTCTGGCATCTGTTGAATTAAATTGTAAAAAATATTCACYCSGCTGCCTTTGCTGTTTGAATTGTATTATGACACACAGTATTTCAKACCTGGAATCTTGAAGTACACAGAGTCTTCGTTGATGACTGTCATTTGGGGCGTGTTCTCCATTGTTCGGCTATTAAGYTCACAGAGGGACTTGTCTCTGTAATAATTKAYACTCCTGCAGCCCGGYTTYKCRRCACARGTCCTRTAGCARSTATCAATATCRCCGATAGTCAAGTTCGACRTGACATGGTTCGTAAGTTGTACTCCCCAGACCGAGGTGTGGCAATCAGCATCAGCGATTTGGAAAGCAAGAGCACAAAGTAATCCAGCACAACTCAAGACAGTTTCTAAAACTCTCGTCTTTCCCATTTCCGTTAGCCCTTTGTTAAACTTAATTCAGCTTGCGTCCCCTGCTATATAGAGTTCTGCTGGTCTAGGGATCAAGTAATACACAATATGTCAATGTGTCGTTTTTTATTCAAACGTGAACGGCCGGACGTAGTACGGTGTGTTGCCCAGTATCGTGCCGGTACCAGTATCGTGCCAAAAAAAGTTAAAGTCAAATTTCGCGCTACCAAAATGAAGTTTCGGAAAACAAAGAATTCAAAAAGTAAACCGAATGCAATCGCTACCCGAAATCATTTTTGGCGGGAATCTAGACATCTATGTGTTCTAGAAGGCCTCCAATTTAGCGAGGTAAGTTGAAATCTTTCAGCTAAAACTCATGAGTTTTAGTGTGCAGTGAATTGAAAACATCTTGAAAATTAGACCTCATAAGATTTAGTTTCAATGAAATTTCTCCAAGTTTGGACTTAAGACAGCTAGATAATGTATGTTTACATGTAATAGTTTGCGAATATTTGCCAAATTTCGTATTTGCAATAATAGCCAGTTTTAAATTTTTAGTATTTTTTTGGTTCTGGTGCCCAGTATCGCGCCATATACAAAATAATCTTTGTTGTGAATGAAGTGATCGTCAAAGCATCTTTAGAAATAAATGCAAAGTGTGTTTTTATGTGTGTAGATGTTTTACACTCTTCATTTGTAGCTTTGTGGTTAAATCTTCGTTGATTGCTGTACACAACAAAGGATGTAGGACGTGTAATTCAATTCCCTCTTCTAAATTAAATTTCAATTACTGTTCTGCCCATATATAAGAAATAATATGAGTAAAAAGGTACAAAAACTAACTGTTAGCGTTATTCTCTCCTTTATTTGTATATTTTTGAAAAAAATTGATGTGGTACGGTACAGGACCCGGTGGCACGAAACTGGACAATCAAGTCGTCTCTGAAAAAAGGGTAATTCTAACAGTAATTAACGTTTTTCGATAAAATAATTTTATCAGTGCATCAACAAATAAATTTGCTTTATTGAGGAAAAAAATTAAAACGATTGAGGTTGGCATGCAAACGATATAGCGATTACAAACTGAAATGGCACGATACTGAGCAACACACTGTATATGCATTGGATGGCTTACGAAAAAAATAAGGATCACAAAGCTTTAACAGAAACGCTCAAATGACAGTAAAATACGAAATTTCAGGAGAAAGGTAAACTAACTAAA